GCCACCCCTGGGAAAAATTTTAATGGGAGATTCTAAAGGCAAAAATAAGACGAAAATCGAGAGGCTTCGTTAAAAAGTTGTTAAAAAATTAAATTAAAAAATTTCAAATCATTGACGAAAAAATTATTTTCGTTTGTGGGAGTCGATTACAATCATTTTTGGTGAATAGACATACCCCCGAAATCCTACGCACTTACGAGGAAAAAATTATTTTCAGTTGCGGGAGTCAATTACAATCATTTTTGGTCATTGGATATACCCCCGAATTCCTATCCACTTCCGAGAACAAAATTCGAATATGTGCTGAAAGTTTCTGCGAAAAAAAAATTTTTTAATTCGACCTCAAAAAATTATTTTCGGTTGCAGGGATCAATTGCAATCATTTTTGACGAATAGACATACCCCCGAAATCCTACATACATTCGAGGAAAAAATTCTTTTCCGAAGATATACTGTGTGGCCGGAAATTTTTGTATAACTTTTTAACAAAGCCTCAGTCAACAAATTAGTATCCTTGATTTGTGTCTTATTTCGGCCTCTAGAATCTCCCATTAAAATTCTTCTCAGGGGTGGCCGAACATCCTGTATAAACGTGTGAAATAATTATTCAACGTTCAACTGTGATGTAGTTTATGGAAACGAAATTAACTTAGGTATTACAAACAGGTCCCAGGAAATGGTGTAGAACATGTAGTTTTGCATGTTCTAGAGTGTTCTAAAAACACATATTTACGTTAAACAGTAATTATGGATGTCGCGTAATAGGTAAACTCGTAGAACCTCGCATTTATCGACGCCTTTGGATAGGTGTATTACCTACATACAAAAAACTAAATATTTACACATTCGGTAAGCTACATTCCAATAATTTGAAATATAGTGTACCGTTCGACATCATCGCATAATCGGACTTACAACCCAATAGATTTTACATCGCAGTGTTACAGTAGATACACCCCGTATATAGATCACTGGTAGTACATCATACCAATGAATAATGCACCGCCACGATCCACTGCTTTTTCACGATAAATCAAGAATTAAGAGAATTTATGGTTTATTTTATATTACGAACGTCACTGTGCCTCCGAAACTCTCGCGAAGAACTTCAGAAAAATTCATTCAGAATTCATTGATTCGTTCCATAGTTCGGAACATTGGCTGAAAATTAAGTAAAAATGGTGGTTCATTCAGATATTGCTAATGGACTCATTAGTAAGGCTGACCCAGTTTACCTTACCTTCGACACAACTTCAGTTTGACCGACTCTAGCTTTAGAATACTTATGCTTAAGCTTCGACAGCGAGCAATTAATTCTATCGGCGGTCATTTGGTGATCGAAATCAGAGTCAATAGAATATCAGAGATACTATGTAGCTCGCTAAGTAGTAGAGTTGGGCACATTTTTGTCTAGATATCGAGCAAAATGAAATGTTATTCGTGTATTACGAGTAACAGTTTATTCCGATAAAAGTATCTAGAAAATAATTTATTCAAATAACTTAAAAAGACGAATAAGTATTTATGTATTAACTAGATGAATCAAAGATGAGAATTTGTAATGAGTAAATTCATAAATATTATATTTTTGTAACAAATGTAGAAGGAAGTTGCAGAAACATGTAATTTCATGAATTCTTTTTATTTTCATACCAAATATAGAAAAGCGTTTTAGAAATGTATCAATCCATAAATTATTATCTGGATTAACTTTTATATAAATTAAATATTATCTACTTGAACTTTTATAGGTAATAGATAAAAATTTTATTTAGGTAAACTTTTATTCGTGACAGACGAATAACGAATACAGCCTTGAAAATGTGTGTATTTAGACACAAAAAATTTCATTTTAAACTTGTTACATTTTATGTGCAGTAAAACTTTACATTTTCATGAAACGTACAGTATTGTTATTAAGGTTGTATAACTTCTTGATAGATTAAAAGGTAGCAATTGGAAAGATTCAATTCAAATAAATAATAGACTTTGTAGTAAATCGAGTGTTGCTATCTTTATAAATGAAAATAATAAAATTGTGGTTTTTGGGTTATTTGCCGAGTCTAAATTACTAAAAAGGATATAATACCTTTTGCATTTTGTTTATACGAGATAATCGTTAATTTATATTTAAATGTAAGCCACTGCTTTTACAAATTTTCCCCTGTAAAACGCCGTACTATCGAAATTCACTTCTGATCTTGAATTTAGATTTTATTAAAACTTCTTATCTACGTTGCATAGATTGACGATTTCTCTAGAAAAATACGATTTCCATAAATGTCTTTCGGAGGAGACTATCGTACGAGTTACTTTATCTTGGGGTGCACCATGATGGCATAATAAAAGCTTAAACGATTCCGTAGACGGAGATAAAGGCTGTTTCCTTACCTAGAGCACAAAATTTCGTTAATGCACTTCGTACTATCAAAAAATTCTCCCCTTATCCTTTAAGTGAGTTGCACATAATTTAAAATCATCGGAAAGTGACATTTTTATGGGCATTTTAAAAACAAATTAATAAAATTAATGATTTTTGGAAAAATATCCGATACGAGCGATAGAATTTTGTTTAGCTTCTAGAATTTTAGTAATGCGTTAAATTGATATTTCTTAAACTTAGCTTTTTTGGTAGACTCTATAGAGCAGAATTAAATTATTACTTTTATAATATGTTTGAAAACTGCTTTCTAAAAACGTGTATTCATTGCTTCAAAATTTTAATTTTATTTCAACGAATTTTTTAAAGAATATCATTAGACGTGTAGGTTTTCTGCAGATCTATTTAACACTATTTTACAATAAATTAATTTCTTTCAGTAAATAGTAAATATTACAAAATCTGTGGTACTTGACTTTCTGGTAGAAGTATCTGATTGTAAAATATCAAATTGTCTTATTCCTTATGACTAAAATTAATTTTTAAGTTACCTATAAGTACAAAATAGTCCAACAATAAATCATAGTAAGTGGTCAAGTGAAAAAAAAGAGACTTTCTTCCTTAATGTTTCGGTCCTTAAAATATAATTTAAACATAAATTTAATGAGTTGGATAATGCTATTGCTTAAGAAATAAGTAGACAGTACTCCTTTTTCTTATGTTTTTACTATCAGCGACAGAAACTAGTAGTAGTTTCAATATAATTATTGTATCTTATTACTTGTAGTATTTTTACTATTTTAATTAGCCCCGAATTTAAAAGGGATCAAACGCCACATTAAATCTGTTTATCAGAAACTTATTGAAAAAATGGGTTCTGTTTAGGACACTGGTCAATACATTAACATCCAATTATACGAGGATGCCAAGACTGTTGAAAAATCGCAGTTATATTCTTAATCAAATAAATTCTTGTTCAACTGAAATAGTAGTAGCCTTTTTTTGACGATTTATGAATGAACAATCTATAAATTTGGTAGACTAGCGTCTTGTTTGCTGAATAACGAAAATAAATGGAGACAGTCTGTAACTGGATAGCATCCAAGTTTAAACTAACAAAGATTTGATTGTGTGAAAATTGCAATTCTTGGGATATGTGTCTTCCATTCAATGTATAAAATTATTCACATGTCCATGTCAAGTAAGTCAAAGATTCCGCTATTCCTCGATCGATTTAAATTGCATTTAACAATAACATTTAAAATATCAAATTAAAAATCACGTTAGATTTTGTCATTGCAAAATTTTTCCTTTTACTTATTCAGGTATCTTTCGTTTACAGAAATTTTAATTTAACGTGTAATTTCCTAAAAATGTAAGTGTCATTTCCGAAATGCAGAGTCGTAACTTCCTGAAGAACACAAGCACGGCATTTTTAAAGGCGCGACGTGTGTTTCGAGTAATTTAGTAGACTGTTTCTTTATGCCAGGTCACGAAAGCAAATCTCGTTTGTCGCAAATGTGTGAGAACTATCTCTACGCATATTTCCCGGCGTGTTTTTGTTGTTCGAGTAAACAGTTTCGTTGGCTGACAACGAAAAAATGCTGCCCTAACACGTCGACGTAATTCGCATGTTCTTCGAAGCTTGAACTTTCGATACAAAACCTCTGATTCTCGACAATTTCACAGAATTCGTAAGCTTTAAAAGTTGCGAATCTTCTAAACCATGGAGTTTATAAAACTTTTACCGATTATAATGTTAAAGTAGAACAAGGAAAGTTAAAACGAAGAAAACGGTTACGAACGGAAATGAAATTTCGAAACTTTTTAAAGATTTACAAAGCATTGTTGCGTTTACGCTTCGATGTGTCCAATATTTGCTTAAGACTTGTGGAGCATCGGATGCAATCAAACGCGATGATCATTTTTGCTTCTAATGACAATATTTGAAATTATGTTTGAATGGATTTATTGATATTTAATTCGATCAATCAATCGGTCATGTTTCATATTAATACGAAACTGGAAATGGTCAGGACGAGTATAAATAATAATATCGTTTCTAAACGTTTCAGCTTCCAATTACAATTTTCTTTGATAAAAATGTTACTCTAAAATATGAAAAGAAAAGAGGGAATAAGAACTACTAACAAATGAAGTGATCATTTTTCACAATTCTAATTTCTCATTTTTGTAACTTGCTTCTACATTGCAGATGGTGTCGTTAATTTTATTTAAAAATTTCTAAAATTAACGATTCTTTAGAATATTTAAGTGTCTATTTTCTTTTAAATGCAACAAGTTTTATAATTTTTTGAATTTTTTTAATTGCACACCTCGTAGAATGAAAAACGTATTAAACAATAATAACCAATGTTGTCTTCTACTTGGATCTTCTTAGTTGATACACGGTAAACTAAAAGTTAGTTTATTTTACAAACTATTTAAGCAGTTCTTCAAGGCACTTAATCAGCAACTTTATGCAACAACTACAATCGAGGGCACCAGAGACCTCGTTATGTCGTTAACATTTCTTTTCTAACTTCTTATACGCGTAATCTCAACTTTACCTTCGTGCTGGCAAAGAACGTATCCCTATCGTGAATTTTTACGTGCTAGAATGACTCCCAACACGTCGTACAATACGTATATGTCGATGCAAGTCCTAGATTCGGCGTCTACGTGCTTATCCGCTGGAAATGCAATTGCATATACGGTTCGAGATATCGATACTCTGGCTCGAATACGGGACACGAACATACGTAGGTGGAAATAAATCGATCACCGTCAGAATGTTGAATGTAGAATCTTATTGTAGCGACAGGACCCGGAAGTAAATAACATTAGGAAAATGTGTTATTTATACATCGTCGCTCAAAATCGATTTAGAACACATCCAAAGTGAACCCTTTTTCGTAGAAAGGGCAATTCTAGATACTGGGACAAGCTGTAGCTTTTTTTGAAGCGAAGATACAAAACCTTCCACGCTAGAAGAAGTAGAATAGTCTAGGCGATACAACTTCTTTGTTTAAAGTATGTATTTGTTTTTAAAATTGAACAATCCTGGGAAAAATTTTTATAGGAGTTTCTAGGGACCAAAATAAGACGAAAATCAAGAATAGTAATTTGTTGATTGAGGCTTCATTATAAAGTTATTAACGTTTAAAGTTCCGCGTGTAGATAGGCAACCTGCGAACAGCTGCGTTCGTGTGATAGTGGTTCTCATTCAGCGTGAGAAACTATACTTACAATTAGTGACGTATCGACAGCCTTACAGCTTTCTGAGTGAGAACCACTACCACAATCAACAAATTACTATTCTTGATTTTCGTCTTATTTTGGCACCTAGAAACTCCCATTAAAATTATCCCCAGGGGTGGCCGAACACCCTGTATATCATTGTGTATATAAAAATGTTACCCGTCGTTTTTTCAAACTTCATTATATTTCAGTTTCGATGACCAAAAATGATTAAGTTACACTACCAGATACACTCTGTTCCCGAGCCCTAGATAAATTATTCTACAGGGTGTCTTGTTTAAGTGAGTACAGCAGGATATCTTGGTAGTTGTAATTATTAAAAAAATGTTCTATTAAAAGTTGTTTGGTAGGACGGGCTACATCATGTAGTATTAATTGTTTTTTTGTGGGTGGAGTGGTGGAGACGATCTGAAGGTCAATTTATTTTTCTTAAATGGAATGCTATGTTTTTTTCTTCAGAAAGTAACAACAGATACTGAGACAAATCCAAAGAGGTACTATACGATATTATTTTGAATTCGATAAAGGCATATTGTTGGCTTATGTTTACATCCTGCATCGGTTGATGACCAACAGCCAGCTATCGTATCGTATCGTATCAAGCTACTGTAATTATGATATTATAAACAGAGATTGAGGATTGTTGACTGAAAAATGTTACTTTACAATATACCATTATAATCCAAACTAAATACGTATAGTGACGAAAATAGCCAAACCTAATCTAATATCTCGAAAACAATTAAATTCCCGAAGCTAAAATTTTGTATTTAGAATTTACACCCTCTTTCCATCATCCCCTATAAATTTCATGTTGATCGAAGAGGGGTGCCATTCCGAAGTACAAGTCAAGAATATTAAAGCACAGGAAAAAAATCTAACCTGAATAAAGAAGTGATCAAATAAAGATCGCTAATCGAAGCACAAAGACTACTATATGTATACTCGAAGTTTAGGTTATAAGTTTTAGTACACCCTGTACAATAAAACGTGTTCTAAGATGTATATAAATGAAACAATGATTAAGATACTACGACTATTATCTAAATGTTTTCTTCGTACCTATTTAATTTGTAAAACATAAAGTTCGAAAATGTTTTGTAAAATACATTGCTTGTCAAGATTGTGAGTCCCAACGACATTTTTAATTATACAAATGTTTAATTTTCAAACGTCACTAATCGCCAAACGTTTCGCTTGTTCGTTTCAGTGCCGCGAACAGTGTTGAAGAATCAATCGGAAGACGACGTCGAGCCAGACGAAATGGGTCTGACGCACGAATTTGAAGAGGGCTTCGATAGGGCAGACTTCAGGGCAGAATTCAGCCCGAGTCCCAACCTTGAAGGGCCACAACCACAACCGAGGGATAACGTTTCCCGAAATTTTCCAACGGCCAGCTCATCGCCGCCGCGTGCTCGAACAAACAACGACGGTGAGTACCACGTCTCAACGTCGTTACTTCATCTTTTTCAACTGATTTGCGATGAAACGATCCCCACGGGGTGCCACTCGTGTTGCTGTCTCATGTTTGTTTATTTGAAAATGTTCATCTGCCTGTTAGTGTTTACAAGTAGCGTTTCGTAGGCTTGGATCCTCTTCATAATAAAGACTATTCAGAACATTATTTAATATTACACGAGAATATAATTGGCATCTTATTATCTTAATTCTAGTATCACGGAAATAAGGAAATGTTATTTTAGATAAACTCTATGTATGTATGTATTACGAAGAGGGCCTTTGGAGACGAAAGCGTTTATGTGTACTGTGCGTCCGCGAGAAGTTGGCTAATAGGACAGTATGTACTTCGTTTGTTCCGCTTCTCCCCACTTTCGTCGTACGTCGCATCGTCATTTCGGTCAATAGCGATAATACTCTAAACTAGAGTGGGGATCCAGATACCAATCAAAACCGCATTCCTTTCGTTAGCCAACTTCTCGCGGGCATACAGTGTCTATGTAGTTGGTTGTAAAGACTAATAAACAGATAAAAATTGTATAAGTTTCGATACTTTTTCCAGTGCTTGGTTTATTCTATGATTCGATTCGACTTATTTCATTACATAGGTTATATTCTAAGAAATTTTTACCGTAAGATAAATTACTTTCAATTTTAATTTTCACTTCATTAATCGAAGAAGAAAAAATTGAACGGATTCACAGTCGAGTAAACAAAGCGTATAATGTATGGAATTCGTGTGCCAAATAATTCTTTTCGTTAGATCATCAGACATTATAGTACCTCGTATACTGTAATAAGTAAGTTTTATAAAAGGCATAATATCTTCGTAACCTTCTGTTTGTAATGTTAAGTAATAACATGAAATTTTAAAACTAACTGTATGAATATAATAGAACTGAACAATTTAAGGAAGCAGGTAATAAATCATTAACGTTTATGAACGAATATCGTCTTTTGAAATGAAGTAATATCCTAATATAAAATATGAAACATCTCGTAGAATATTACATTTTCTATGATTAAGTCTTAGCACTTTTATATGCAAAGTGAAGGGAAGAATCGATAAAAAATGCAAGGTTTCGTTTAAAGAACAAGGGCAAGTGAATATTACAAAAGAAAAATACCATTAAAATATATACATATAGTCCTGATGAAGACTCAAATTTTCTAGTAAGAATTTTTGTTATATTTTTCTTTAAAAAAAAGCTACAGCATATCTTTATTTCTATAGTTAAGCTGTATCTAGTGTAACAATTATCTCTTATTCATATCAGTTACATAATATTATGTTAATCATTGAAAATCTGAATTATCCAATAGTGTATGTTATTCTGAATATAATTAAGTGTGGCTGGCAGAATTTTAGCACACGAATTTTTGACTGTCTCTGTTTGCTATTGAGCGTCGTTACCTATGGTCGTTATCACGTGAAATCAAATATTATTATACCGTGCAACGTGATACTGTTGTTGAATTAATACTTCATTAAACTCAATCGCATAATGTAATATAATAACGCTTAATTCATTTTAACGGAGGTATGTAGTTAGCAATTTTAGGTAATATTTAATCAATCGTAGTACACTATACGATTTTCACTGAAAATTGAAAGTCGAGTCGAATCGAATGTCGGGTAGAGGCAGACAAAATTTTTATCTGGATCAAAATATCAAACAGCGAATAAAAAATAAACTTTTAATATATTTTTTGTTCGATAAAAATTATAATTTAAATCGTACGATCGAATCATGTATCACTTTCGACTAATAAATATCTGAATAATTGCTGAATAATATTTGATCGAATAAACTTTCCGAATAATCTGTTGTTCTAATGAAATTTTGTCCACCTTTGGCGTCGAGTATCAATTTTATTTCGACGCAATTCGAGTGGCATTCTCGATTCCATGTGTTTAGCGTATCGGAGCTTACTTTCGAATTTCCTGTATAGCGCACGCATGTTGGCTGTGGTTTTCTACCTTTGCTTTGCACTGAATCTGCACTGACACATAACACCCGTATACAAACGTGCATAGCATTAGGAGGTCAGAGTCGTTAGCAGCTGCCGCATACTGAACATTAATGCTCGAACGTAATTAAGGTTAATGCAACGCCGATATCGTCGTTGCTTATGACTTATATGACGTATTGTAGGAAGTAAGGAAGATCAGTCTCGAATTAAGGAGAATGTGATGTCACGAGTATAGGAAGCGAGGACAGTGTTAGCCATTTTTTACTTACAAACGATATCTGCTGAATACCTTCGCTTCTGTGATCTTGATGGAATTTGAATACGGAGCTTATTATTTTAGTGCCGATAGTTCAATGTTCAAGAGGTGAAACTATCCTCCAAACTTTAGACTAAAGTACGTCCCTATCTTCAAAAGTTTTCGTACTTACTGACAGAGAATAACAGGATGTTCGCATTTGAAATAAGAAATTAATAAGAAAGTAAAAGAATCAATTTTACAATTTTACTATTAATATTTCTGTAAGAACAAGGTTGTTATTGTGACAAATTTTGCTTATACAATGTTACTTATTAAAATTATTTTTTTAATCGTTGCTTCGTTCTTACGTATATTTACGATATACAGGGTGTTCGTCCATCCCTGTGAAAAATTGTAATGGGAGATTCTAGAGATCAAAATAAAACAAAAACCAAGAATATGAATTTTTCGTTTGAGGCTTCGTTAAAAAGTTATTAAAAAATTAAATTGAAAAATTTGAAATCATTCTCGAAAAATTATTTTCGGTTGCGAGGGTCAATTACAATCGTTTTTGGTGAGTAGACATACCCCCAAAATTCTACGCATTTTCGAGACAAAAATTCAGTACGGGTAGAACTTTAAACGTTAATAACTTTTTAACGAAGCCTCGATCGACAAATTGGTATTCTTGATTTTCGTCTTATTTTGACCTCTAGAATCTCCCATTAAAATTTTTCCCAGGAGTGGACGAACACCCTTTATATTTGCTAAGAATAAATAAAAAAAAGTGTTTAATTGTTCAAATGTTTTAAATATGTCTAAACCGTCAAAAACAGAGCTGTGAAATACTCTACAAGATAGAAATTAAGTAAGAATGCAAACAAAGTAATCGCTAGAATGGTAAAATCAGTAGAAGCGGCGTTTCAAGCACATGAAGGTTATACAGACAATAAAGAGATTTAATTATCAATAATAATGTTGGTAAAATTTAGTAGAAATTATTGTTTATAGCTAATTGTGTAAAACATAAGAATAAATTATTCTCCGTTAAATATTTTCACGATTTCCGTTTGTTTTTTAGGCCTTTATGGCGTTTTAATAGATGTCCCAAGATTTTTTATATTATTTTCATTTGGCACTGACATCTACACCTATTGTCAGTTAGAAACAAAATATGACTATGTATGTATATGGAGTAATAGCCATCGAACGAAAGTGGATACTCAGTCGGATATACGTAACGTCATACGTATGCCATGATACACGGATGTTTTAAACATAACGATGCTTTTACATCAGACAGATTTAATTATTTCGAGCACATTCAGGTGAGCACTTTTACAGCGTCATCGTTATTGCAAATGCTACATGTTGGTTGATTTTCAATTAGTTAGCAATGATCAAATGGAGTTTCAAATGTGTTTGGTTTGCCCTCGATATATCCACTTCAACGCCACAAGTACTTTTATTCGACACTGAAAAGGGTTTTTATTAAATTTTAATCGATAACACGTCTTTGACAATTATATTTGATAAAAAATTTTTTCTCGAAAAAATTGGTTATTCGAGAAATTACAATTATATTTCATTTTTTTTATGTCTTCTTCAGTATTGAAAATGAATTATATAATCTAAAAAGTAAAACTATTTCGAGAGATGTGATCCTGATATTATATCTAATATTGTATTTTTGTCATATTGCTCGAAATGATTTTAGTTTTGTTTTTTCAATTATAAAATTAAACATTTGCGTATATTTTCGTTACTGAAGTGTACCATAAAAATGATTGGTATGAATTTTTGAAAGAAAATCGAATAAAGTGTTTCGAATTACATTTATGTCCACTAATTTTCCCAGCAAACAGCAATTCAAATTATTATTCATGTTTTGAAATGTTCTGATATTAGTTTCTGTTTGAAAATTAATTAAATTAACGTAGAATTGAATATGATTTGTTTGCCCATTATTCAGTATTTCTACTCCAGCGAATGTCAAAATCGTACTCTATTGCACGTGTGCCCAATGAATTTTCAAAATTAATTTTCTGAAAAACAAAGCCTTGTATGAAAAAATATTATTTTACATTTTCTATTTACTCTTTTATGTAGAATCACACTCTGTACGTCATTAGACCATCAGCATAAAGAAAAAACTTAGTGAAAACTTCAATTACGTTAATACATAATTTACGAAACAAAGCCCTAACAAAATTTAAAAAATTTCTTTGTATCTGCAATACTTTTTAAAGTTGACTTACCACTGTTAAAGAAAAATGTTTTATCAAAATCAAACTGAAAGAGTTATTTTGTCGTTGATCGACAGCTTCGTTTAACTAAAACGCCTGATCCAACACGGCCTGCGACCACTTCCAGGACTGATTTTTCTTTCTCGTTGCAATAAGTATAATTCCAATTATCGTGTCATGACTACGGAAAATACTAGTCCAAAATTCAGTCGGCGTCGTTGTAGAGCACGTGATACAGTTCCTGAAATCCGGTCAACGATCGCGAACGATGAACTGCCACTGCATTCTAATAATTTGTACCATTGTTTGTTGTCGTGCGCGAAACGGGTTGTCACGGCACAAAGACTCTTTGTGAAAACGAGAAAAAAAAAGCAACAAATGGATCGAACGAATAGAACGAATATATGTATTCCGAGCGAAGCTTCATTGTTTTTTGACGACAAAATTGACTTCGTTGGAAAACCATCGAGAGCGTCCACTTGTCCGATGCGGAATTTAATGATTCTCGTTTCGTAG